CTTACTTTTTATTCATACAACCCAATGTAAAGAATAATGAAATGTCCAAGTTTATAAAAAATTAATAAACATTAACCAAATACAAGAAAAATGGTCAAAAACTGTCAAAATTTCGCGCTTCTATTATTTTGGCCATGGGGGTATGTATACATCTCTCATTTACTAAAAGACTGTCACAATCTCAGTTTCCTTTAAACACTTTTCCTGAGAAATTCTTTTTTTTTCGTTTTGACTGCCTTTTAGTAAATGAGCGATATGTATAGTAAGGTACATATTACATATTAGCGTACATATTTAATAGTAAGGTACATATTACATATGTATTAGCGTACTTATTTAATAGTAAGGTAAGTTAAAATACGTACATACAACTTGTATACGTTTTCATGTGTCGCCATGTAGGAGTCGACATAAGTATTTGTAAATCAAAATTATTTTTCAAAGGCACACATAGGGTGCTTTCCAAAACGTCAAACTACAAAGCATCAATCTCTTTTATTTCTAAACCGCACTAGAAAATTAGCATCTAACCGTGGTTGCGCACATTTGGCTTTACAATCTGCTGAAGCTTAGAAACTAGTAATTTTTAGCAAAAAAAAAACCGACTTCAACTCCCATATAAAAAAAAAAGATATATATATATATCTCATTTCCGATGCAAAAAGAATTATCGAAATCGGTTGACGTGGTCCAAAGTTATGCGGTAACATACATAAAAAAAAAACAAAAAAAAAAAAAAATATTCCGACGAACTGATAACCTCCTCCTTTTTTGGAAGTCGGTTAATAAAAAAAGAGACTGATGCTTTGTATTTTGACGTTTTGGAATGCACCCATACACATCCGCATGCTATGGCGATCCAGCTTAAAAGCAATATGATGAAGTATATAATTAAATATTAATTTCACATTGGACAAGTTGAAGTATACCCATTTGTAACTGCGATATATGCGAAACATCCAATTGTGCTTCTTCAACGGTAAGGGCGATGCTGTCCAAAAATATTCGAAAAGCAGACTTGCGCTCAACGGATGCTCTAACACTTTTCATGGCGGTAAGCAGCTCACATTCTACAGCATTGCTCTTACTTTTCCGAGGCACTGCAGTAGCTGGCGTTGAGGATTTGATGCCGCTTAAGTTCATAAATGAACTCGATGCTTCGTCATCGAAAGGAATTTCTTCCTCCGTTAAGAAATTTCCAATTGTGCTGATAAAGAAATTTAATTACATACATTTTATTAACATATCTTCATTTCGCACGTTTATTAATACACATACTTAATTCCCAATATAAGTTTTTGGGGATTTTATCATGCAATAAGCTTTATAAGGAAAATATGTATACCACTTTATTATCAAACGTGCGATGTGCTCAAAGTTGAGTGGTAACTTACCTCGTGTTCGATGAATCTACATCCAGCAAGAATAGTAGGCTGTCGTAGTTTTTGTATAACTTGGTGTCTGGCGACAACTGCCCACTACCAGACGCAGCCTCGGTGCTCTTTTTTTTATGCACCCGATAGAAGCGGTCGCGGATGCACTTCCACTTTTTTTCAATACATCAACTGAAAAGAAAAGTGAAAGTAAAAGGGATTACTCGCTTTCCTAGGACATACAGGCTGCGTTTCTTTATATATTCCAGATAATCCCATTTCACAGCCAGAATAAACAGAATGCGTTTGAAATATACGTTAACATATCATCAGGAACGTTCTAAAGAATAAGTAAACAAAAAAGTTTATTCTAAACGTTTAGAATGAATAAAGAAATGCAGCCACAATTTTAAAAGGAGTATGCTTATATACAGAAGCATAGAGAGCAATGGGGAGTATTCGTAAACTCGCAAGGGAGTACGCACGGAGCATTCGTACGTTGCTCCCATATATATGTACATATAGCACAGCCCAACAAAATTCTAACTGCTTTCAGCACAACCAGTAACCACTAATTCTCATGATTTTTCCTACAGAATCAAAATCTGAACCAATAGAGAAAGGTGTTCTGCACAAAAATACTGTTTAAAGGGTTTATATTTCCGGTGTAAAAATGCTAATTTTAGACCATTTTTCAGTGGTTCCCCAAGGGGTCTGTGGAAGGTTTCGAGGGGCCAGGTGTGACTTTTTAAAAAGACTTAACTGTGCTCTTTCTAGTGGGTTGGATATCAAGACCCATGACCCCTCCCCCTCCGCTCATTAACCCACAAACAGTGGGCAAATAACTAAACATTTCCCTCTATTACATATGTATGTATATATTATAATAAAAGCTGTACGTGAAGTGAAAGGGTTCACAATCTACTTCTGGCTTACCTGGGACGTTTGCTTCCTTTTAAAATTGAAGCCACAAGCGGTCTTTATGCAATTGGTTTTAAAGCCGCCGTGCTTCTTGTCGTAGATGCATGGGTTGTCCCTTACAAATTCTATTATGCGTTCATCCATCGCACTCCTGTGGAGAAGCATGGTTTTTAAAATTATAATAGTTGCGTTCCAGATGATTCACGATTTGCAGTTTTTACAGGATTTGCAGGAAAAGCTGTTTTCTCACCTGGTGGTCACCTGGAACAGCTTCCTGTAGAAACCTGCAAATCGTGAAGCATGTGGAACGCAACTAATGTATACATTTATACATATATACATACATACATTGTAAGTTAAATAAAAGACTGAAAAATAAGAAACTTACCTATAAAAGGTGCAAAACGCCCGCGGAAAACACAAAAATGCCAAAAATAACGCGCCAATTTCACAAAAAATTTTAGTTCTCAGTGACACAAACAGAAGTTGGCTGCGTTTCATTTATGTCAAATTCGACACTTGAAGTTTGCTGCAATGAAGGCAGTGGTAGTGAATTTAGAGTTTGGGCTAAGCTGAGCAGTACTGCCAACTGTCACTGCTGTATTGTGTGTCGCTTCATTGCACAGCACAGTTTCTAAAAAACAGCTGATTTCCAAATACTGCCACTGCCACTGCGTTATTGTATTTTGGGCTTTGATAATCTGCGTTTTTGCTTTAAACGTGCATAGCAATTCTACTACGCCTAAATTTTCAATTTTGGTGCCGTTGTATGCTATTAAATATTCAGAGCTATTCCTTACTATTACATTTTTAACCGACTTCCAAAAAAGGAGGAGGTTATCAGTTCGTCGG